TGATAAAAAGTTCTAAATTAAAAGAAAATAAATAGAAGTTAAGAAAAATCTTAAACTTTTCAACATGGATGGTTCCAAATATAGACAAAAGTAGATTATAGTAAAACTGACTCTCAAATACCCATTCCCTATATTCAATAATTATAATTTTTTCTACCTTTCTTATCTTTTAAAAAATTGAAATAAAATTCATAGAACATAAAATTAATTCTTACGAAGTATATAATTCAGGGGCATTTAGTATATTTACAAGGTTTTACAATTATCACTACCTAATTCCAGAAAGTTTTCATCAACCCCAAAAGAAACCCTGTACCTATTAGCAGTCACTCCTCATTCCCCCTACTTTTCTAATTGAAAAATTTTTAATTTCTCTTCTACATTTTCTTCTGATTTGCTCAGAATGCCCCATAAGTTGGTGGGTTGTTAGAACACAATATCTAAGTTTGAACCCACTTAATCCACATACTAACTATATAATCTTACACAGTTGATTTATCTTCTCAGTTTCATTTGCAAAATGGAGCAAATCTTAGTATATTTCAACATCAATTTTATAATAAAAAGGGAAAATGTTTTGGAAGACCTACCATTAGCAGTAGCTAGCTGAAAAGCCAGATCAAGGCCTCCTCTTATTCTGAAGAGTATATCCATAGTTTTTGAGGTCACCTGGAACAAATAAAACCAAAATTCCTTTGTAAAACAAAAGAAACACTTCCTTACATAAATTAGAAACCAACTTAGTTTAAGGTAAAGCATTTATTACTTCATGAGTAAATTCCTTGTTTCATGGATAAAAACAGAACAAAACAACCCCTAAATTCTCAATCAGTTCTCAGCCCTTGTTCCATACTGAAATCACCTGAGGAGCTTAAAATACTAATACCTGGGCTATACCCCAGATATTCAGATTTACTGGTCTAAGGTGGACCTATGCACACATATATTTAAAATTCCCCTCTGTCCCAGGCCAGTGATACAGTATGAAAAGGCTGAGAACCACTGCTTTAAGATAAATATTCTAAATTACAGTCTTGATGGGTTTAACAATGGCAAACATCAGTGGTAAAGGACTAGTTTAAGAAGGGCACAAAAGCACTAACCCCACACCTGGTGGTCAAAACAATGAGAGGAAATGAGTATATCTCTGAGGGTGGGAGTACAAACTGGCAGAACTCTTTATTGTATGTGGGAGTAAGAATCAAAGCCTTTTTATTCACATCCTTGGTCTACTGATTCTGAATTTAGAAATTCAGTCTAAAAAAATCTGCAAAACATACAAAGATTTAGGTATAAAAATGTCAGCCTGTCAACAGATTGGTTAAATAATTATGAATATCATACAGCCATATAAAAATTATCTTTGAGATTAAAATTAAATGGAATCAGCCAATGCTTGCAACTTTTTTTTTTTTTTTTGAGACAAGCTTCTCACTTTGTCACCCTGGGTAGAGTGCCGGGGTGTCACAGCTCACAAGAACCTCAAACTCTTGGGCTTAAGCGATTCTCTTGCCTCAGCTTCCCAAGTAGCTGGGACTACAAGCACCTGCTACAACACCTGGCTGGTTTTTTTGTTGTTGTTGTTGCAGTTGTCACTGTTTAGCAGGCCTGGGCCGGATTCAAACCTGCCTGCCTCGGTGTATGTGGCTGGTGCCCTAACCACTGAGCTACAGGCACTGACTCAATGCTTCCAACTTATAAAGGGGAAAAAGCATTTCCAAAATGGAATTGCTCAACAATTTTTAATTTGAGTCCATATGCTGAGTTTCAGATAGTTGATGACATATGACAAATGACATTATCATTTGTGAGTGCATGTACTCATGTGCATGTGTGGGGGGATGGGAGAAATTTCTTTTGGAAAAAGATTTCAAAGGTTTTATCAGATCCTCAATATATGTCCCAAACAGCATGAAGAACCACTAAGATAGTAAGAACCCTATTTTGAAATAAACAAGTGAAATACTAACATCTACTGAGATGTTAGTATTTCTTTTCTTTTTGCACTTTTTGGCCGGGGCTCAGTTTGAACCTACCACCTCCAGCAGATGAGGCCAGAGCCCTACTCCTTTGAGCCACAGGCACCGCCCTACTGAGCTCTTAAAACATAGAAGGCTAAACACATAAACTCTAATCCTCAGAATACTATGAAATACCATTACAATTTTTCTCATTTTAACAAATTCTTTTTGTGTGTGTATAGGGACAGAATCTCACTGTGTTGCCCTCGGTAGAGTGCTGTGGCATCACACCTCATAGCAACCTCAAACTATGCCTAGCTATTTTTTGTCATTGTTTAGCAGGCCCTAGTTGGGTTCGAACCCACCAGCTCCAGTGCATGTGGCCAGCACCCTAACCACTGAGCTACAAGTGCTGAGTCTTTAACAAATTCTTTTTTTTTTTTTTTTGAAACAGAGCCTCAAGCTGTCGCCCTGGGTAGAATGCTTTGGCATCACAGCTCACAGCAACCTCCAACTCCTGGGCTCAAGCAAGTCTCCTGCCTCCACCTCCCAAGTACCTGGGACTACAGGCGCCTGCCACAATGCTCGGCTATTTTTTGGTTGCAGCCCTCATTGTTGTTTGGCAGGTCTGGGCTGGATTTGAACCTGCCAGCTCTGGTGTATGTGGCTGGCGCCTTAGCCGCCTAAGCTACAGGCGCTGAGCTGAGCCTTTAACAAATTCTTTATCACATTTCTTTAAGAGTGTTTGCTTTTATTTATTCTATAAAGTGTAACCCTGTTGTAAGATCATACCTTTAACCCCAATTCTACTTCTCAGAATTTATTCTATGGAAACAAGAAAGTCTGGGACAAATTTAGCTTCAATGTCCATTTATTCTATTATTGTTCATCATGGGAACCAAAAAGTAAGAAACCACTTGAATAGCTATCACTAAGTCCATTAAATAAAGAACAAAACATTATGTACTCATTGAACAAAAAATATTTAAAGATACTGAAGATAAGGCTGGGCATGGTGGCTCATAGCCTCTAATCCCAGCAAACTGGGAGGCTGAGGTGGGTGATTTGGCTAAGCTCAGGAGTTTGAGACCAGCCTCAGGAAGAGCCAGACCTTGTCTCTAAAAAACAGCCAGGTGTTGTGGTGGGTGCCTGTAGTTCCACCTATTCCACAGGCTGAGGCAAGAGACTAGCTTGAGCACAATAGTTTGAGGTTGCTGTGAGCTATGACACATGGCACTCTACCCAGGGCAACAAAGTGAGACTCTGTCTCAAAACAAAACAAAAAAAAGATATTGAAGATAAAAGTTAAAAAGACATGAAAGTGCAAATTTTAACTTAGCTACTTACTGTATGATTTTGCACAATTTAACTAATCGCCCAGGTCTGTTTCTCTTCTGTAAAAGTGGAAAAATAAACAACTTTCCAGAGTTGTTGTGAAGATTTCATTAGAGACCATATGTGAAAGCACTAGAGCCTCCCTACCTTTCTGAATTGAGATCTTCGCTGAAAACATAATATTTAAGCTGATACCTGAAGGGTACCAGTATTAAGAATTCCAAGGAAAGATGGCAGCTGGAGATGGAAGAGCCAATTCAAGGAAGGTGCACTAAAAGCCACTTAGGAGGCTGCCCCAGATATTTAGGTCAGGCGGTGGCAAGAACAAGGATGGTTAAGAATGGATAGACTGACAAAAGACCCACATTTAGAAGGACAATCCGTAGGACTCAATAACAGATTGAATGTCAGGAGTAGAGAAGATGTCAGAGATAATTTCTAGGTTTTTGGCCGGCAAAACAGGGTCTATAGTGTGCCACGGGCAGAGATGGGGGCGTTGGAGAGGAAGTTGGGTGAGGAGTGATGGAAATGATGAGTTGGTTTTGAAATGCCAAGTTTGAAACAGATACGAGCTATCCAAACGGAGGCACAGTTAGCAGATTTGAGGGTCTGGAGCTCAAAGAAGAAGTGTAAGCTGGAGATAACGAATTTGGAAGAAAGCATAGGGCGTAAAGTTTACCTGAAGAATGCCAACACCTAGGACAGAGAGTGGAGAACCTTGCAGAGCAATGAATGACAGAGGAAGGAAACCAGGCGAGTGCGACGTCGCGGAAGCGCGGGGAACAGAACATTGGGAAAAAGTTATACCCATCTCTCCCAGGTTTGTTGTTGTTGTTTTTGTTTTTTTTTTTAGATACAGAGTCTCACTTTGTCGCCCTCGGTAGAGAGCTGTACCGTCACAGCTCACAGCAACCTCCAACTCCTGGGATTAGGCAATTCTCTTGCCTCAGCCTCCCGTCTCCCAGGCTAAAACCTTCTGCAAAGGCTTCAGAAACGCCGAACAACCCCTCAGAATGCATTCACGCAAAGATGAGAGGGGAGCGCGCGTCCGGACCCAGCCGAGGTCGGGGCTTGGCGCGGGGGTGAGTTTCCCTCCGGCCCCAGTGGGGAGAGGCTCCCAGACCGCGGAGCTCGCAGTGCCGCCGCGGGCCCGGGCAGGACCGCCTCCTCTCAGGGGTTTTGGAGCTGCACTCGTGGCGGCTGCCGGAGTCCGAGGGGAAACACTGGGGTCGCTGATCAGTAGGGGTACTTACCACGTCCGCGACGTGGCGGTGACAGAAGCACTGACGTCGCCCACGGGCTCTGGGGGCCGGTCCGGAAGTGGCGCCATCACCATCCGTGGGCGGGGCCGAGCGGATCGACTACATCTCCCAGCATGCCCGGCGGCATGCGTCATGGGGCGTACCACGATGCGTCTCCAGGCCCTTGGCTAGAGAGGCGGGAGGCCGGGACGTTATTTACGATCAATTCTCTTAGTTGAGTCCGTTGTATTTTCGGACGCTCTGTGTCCTTCTGTATGTCCTTCTGGATGCGGATTAGCGCTTTGCTCGTGTCCCTCCCAGCCTACTTGGAGTGGATTCTCCCGTAGCCAGGGCAACGCGACACAGCGCGGGCCCCCCGCGGAGGGGGCTCGCTACCTGGGCGTGTTGCTGGGGACGCTCGCTCCTGGGCGGGCTGCAGCCCTAGTCACTCCTTGTGCCGGATTAGCCCGGACTGGAAGTGGTACTACCTGATCTCAGTTATCGGATTCGCGGCCCTTCGGAGAGGCGACTTGATCCTCGTGAACACTAGGTGGTGTCCCTTAGATGCCTTCTACCTCGAGCCTCTATTTCCCTAGTGGGAAATAATTTCTTTGTCATCACAGCTGGACGTTTTCTGCCCCTTCCTCATCACCCTACACCTTCCTCTTTTTTATCCGCACTTTTCGAAGGGAACTCGCCGTTTTCCACTGTGTGTATTTATCTAGTAGATTGTAAACTTCCCGAGGGCAGGATCTATGCCTTTTAAAATCTGATTTTCTAGCTTAGGCCAGCGATCCTTACCCAGGGAGAACAGGTTTGCAAAGTATCTGTTGAATACATGAATGAATGAATGAATGAATGATTTTGTATCGTAAATGTTGCTGAAGAGTTAAGCAGTGGAAAAGTTCTAGGTAAGAACTTCTTTCCTTTCCTTACCTGGGAATCCCGTGGTGAGGAAGAACCTGCCTTTGTGGAGCTGACAGTTTAATGGGGAAAACTGCTGTAAATGAAAGGGTCCCTATTGGACCCGACGAATGTAAAACCAGGACCCAGCAGATGAGTGGGCGCACTGAAGTTGCGTCCTACAAAATAGGCAATAGTCCTGTAGCTGGAGAGGGCCCAAACTAAGAACTGAATGCAACAAATGCATCCAGGGGGCGGAGGGGCGGGGTTCTCCAAGGTATCCGATGATGCTGGCTGATTTGTTAGACCTCGCGCTCCACTTTAAGGGTTTAACCCCGCTGTGGCAGCTCAGAAAGGCTTTGTGAATGGGCAGTGGGTTGGAGCTTTAAAAAATGATGTAAATCAAATTACTACATCCCAGTTGACAGACGTTTAGTTCTAAAGCATACCTGATCGAGGGAGAGGAGGTAGGATGGGGAAGGTGTCGGAATTTTCTTTTATGCTTTAGTTAAAAATGAATCTTCACTTTCCTCACGGATGTTAACATTAGAAATGATTCATGCTCAGATGAGCCACGGTTCCAAATAGACAGGCTTGCTCAGAGTCAATTGGAACAGCTTGTTCTAAATTCGAGGTGACAAATTCCTACCTTGCCTTATAAATTGGGAAGCATACGTCAATGTTTGTTTTATTCACTAATGTAAGCCCAGTCTAATTTTAAAAATTACTTTTTAAATAAAGAGTTGCCTGTTTAATGGGATATTTCACCGTTGTTGGAAGTGGCTGTTTCAAAAGAAAACTCTCAGTTGCAGTCTGCCCTTTAGCAAATATCAAGAATTCATCATGTAATTTTTGTCTTCTTGTTCTGCTTTCATCTTGCCTATATAACTGTCCCCTACCCACCTCCCCTCAGTGAGCTAATTTTGCCAGTGGCACATTTCTTATTAAACTCAGAAAAACAAAAAACCTCAAGAACTATAGGGAAATACCTACATGTGTTGTGCATTCTGAAAATCTGTTATAATTTTCAGTATGGGAAACGATGCAAGCTGTTGAAATTATTTTTATCTAAACTGTAAAAATGCTTTATATCATTATAGTTTTTAAATTTGCCCCAAGCTTCTGAAAAGAAGGATTTGTTTACACGCTATTTATACTGCACTGTACAGTAATGATTTTGGCATTTTCAGCAGATAAATGGCAGTGCAATGGATGATACCACACACATTCCTTCCTAATTTGTGAGCACTTCACAGGGACAGTCAAAGGGAGGGTTCATGAGATAATTTTGAACCCCAGTATTCGCCTTCAGCTCTGCAGGGTAGATTCTTTCTCCCACTGAATTTGGAACTATTGTTTTATAGTGGATGTTAAAACTCTCCTACTGAAAGTAATTTGAATTGAAATTTATTAATCAATTTTCTCTTAAATTTCTCCCTTTACTTTTTAATGTAAAGTAGGGTGTTGCTGTCAAAGAAGGAAACTTTGCTCTAAGGAAACTTTGGAAGTTACCAGTGTAGAGAACACCAGTGCAAGCAGCCACAATGCCTGGAGAAACAGGAAAAACAGATATGGAGAGGATTGGCCTCTTCAGTGAGATGGAATATATTACTGTTGGTGATAAATATGTGTCACCATTTAATCGTGAGTATATTTGATTTTCTTTACAGCCTAAGTGTGGCATTTTCTATAAGCAATTTTCAGTTTTCAACCTGAGCGAGAACAAGACCCTGTCTTTATGAAATATAGAAAAATTTGCCAAGTGTTGTGGCAGGTGCCTGTAGTCCCAGCTACTCAGGAGGCTGAGGCAGGAGGATCACATGAGCCCAGGACTTTGAGGTTGCCATGAGCTATGAATGACACCCTGGCACTCTACCAAGGGTGGCAGAGTGAGAATCTGTCTCAAAAAAAAAGAAAAGAAATTTTGAATTTAGTGTTTAAGTCATATAGTATTTCATTAGTATATGTTTTAAAGAATTTAGTTCTGAAGTTGATTAACTTGTAAAATTTCAATAGACTCAGGAGATAATTTAATTTTATAAGAGTAGGAAACTCATTTTATTGGGCTACTCTACCCTTATTTATTGTCCTCTTAAGGAAATTTTATTTCTTTCAGAAGGTACATAGCAGTTTTCTCCCAGAATATTTTGCTGTTAGTTTTTTCTTCTTGGACGAGACATTCCAGTATGCAGACAGCGGACTGTCAGCATTTGCATCCAAGACCATCCAGTAATACGAAATGCTAAATGAATGCCCAAGGGATTTTTAGAAAAGTCATAAATCATAAAAAGGGCTAAAGTAAATAAATATTTTACATGTCTCAGTTAAATTTTTGGATATCCAATGACTTGTATGAAACAATAAAAAGGAAAACACTGATTTGTAAACATCTCTAGGATAAGTAAAACAGCAAGGTGTAGAATAGTGCATATTGTATTCTAAGCATCAACAACCAAAAATATATATATGAAAATATTCACTTGAACATGCCTAAACATTCTCTGGAAAACTAAATCTCATTGCTCTGGAAAAGAACTGGGTATCCAAGCATGAGAGGAAGACATCTTGTAAAGACTTTATACTTTTTTGAATTTGGAATTATTTGAATGTACTGGATTTTCAAAAAATCAGGTTAAAAAAATCGATGATACAAATTCAACAAGTCAGTACCCAGTTGAATTAAGGGTTCTGTACTCTTCAAAAAAATTTGCACATTACCATAAGACTCCTCAAATACAACTCTAACATTATCAAAGAAGTTCTGAATATTTGTGTAAACATCTTTTGAAACAGTACTGGGTTACTAGTATTTCATTGTCTATACCACAACTTTTTATTTTTATTTTAATTTTTTAAATTTTTATTAAATCATAACTTTGTACATTGATGCATTTATGGGGCTCAGGGTACTACTTTGATATACAATGTGAAATGCTTACATTGAACTAAGTAACACATCCGTCCCAATTATGCTCATTTCTTAATAGTTTTGAAATGTACCATTGCATTATGCACATTAGGTGAGATCTCCCCAGATACCTTCCTTCCTCCTATATATCCCCCCTCCCCTCCCCTCTCTGTCCTCTTCCCTTCTACTTTCTGGACTATAGTTACGTTTTGCCATTTGTATGAGTGTGTAGGTGGTTATATATTGATTTCATAGAAGTATTGAGTACATTGGATATTTTTTTTCCATTCTTGACATACTTTACTAAGAAGAATATGCTCCAGCTCCATCCAGGTAAAGACAAAAGATGTGAAGTCTCCATCTTTTTTATGGCTGTATAGTATTCCATCATGTACATATACCACAATTTGTTAATCCATTCATGGGTCAATGGGCACTTGGGCTATTTCCATGTCTTGGCTGTTATGAATTGGGCTGCAATAAACATTCTGGTACAAATGTCTTTGTTGTAAAATGATTTTTGATCATCTGGAAATACCACAACTTTTAATCTGTTCTCTTATTGATGGACATTTGGGCTGTTTCTTGGTTTTGATCATTACGAGTGAAATTGCTATGAACATTCTTGCTCATGTCTTAGTTGGACATAGGCACTCAAAATTTGAGTATAAAACACCCTTCTCTTTAACATACTCACATGCTCTTACTGACATCTCACGCAAATAGCATTTTCTAGTACTTAGATAGAAAAATACCGGATTAGATAACCTTAATACTGGATTAGATAACCTTAAATTTTAAAATTCAGAGTGTAACCATGACCTTAACCTAAAGGTTCAAATGTTTCAATGATAACTTCTTAGGCTTTGTTTAGAACTAAAAAATCATAACTGAACCAAACAACATTTGGGAACTTTCCTGTTATTTTCTATATCCCTTTAATTACTAGTGAGCTCAAAATTATAATATGCCTAATTTATTTTTTAAAGGACCCTTTAATGAGGCTGCAAGCAAAAAGAGACAGATGCTACCTGGGGGATCCAAGGAAATGTCAGATCTCCAGGCAGGTTACTTTGATCCCCATTTTGTAAGGATTTTTGAAGGCGAAGGCTACATAAATGTGAATCAACTGAAGAGGCAGCATATGATGGGAGAAGCCAAAAAAAATCTAGGCAAAGCCTTCCTCCCCAGTAGTGGAGATAAAAAGCCGTAAGTGTTTGAGGAAAAAAGTCTTAAATAGATTTCCTGCACCTTTATCTATCTAGTGTAAATTGTTTAGTTTTTCTGTAGGACTTACGTTAAATTAATTTTTAAGAATGGTTTCAGGTTGGTTTGCTTTAAGTGGAGGCAGTTACATTGGAAGATTTGGATTGACAGTTCATTTTTTCCTGCACCTTTATCTATCTAGTGTAAATTGTTTATTTTTCTGTGGGACTTACGTTAATTTTTAAGAATGGTTTCAGGCTGGTTTGCTTTAAGTGGAGGCAGTTACATTGGATGATTTAGATTCACAATTCATTTTTTCCTGGGTAGAGTGCCATGGCCTCCAGCTCACAGCAATCGCAAACTCTTGGGCTTAATCGATTCTCTTGCCTCAGCCTCCCAAGTGCTGGGACTATAGGCACCCCCCACAACACCTATTTATTTTTTTTTGTAGTTGTCATTGTTGTTTAGCAGGCTGAGGTCCAGGTTAGAACCTGCCAGCCCTGGTGTATGTGGCCAGCACCCTAAGCACTGAGCAACAGGTGCCGAGTCATAATTTTTTTATTGTTTAACTAGGACCAGAAGAGGTGTTAGATTGACAGGTAATTTTGACAAAATATGTTATTAAATTAAATTTTGATTTATCTAATGTCACTGTTCTCTGTTAGTTTACAGAATAAAAACCAAGTAAATAATAAAAACAAATTTGTTTAGAAAACTTTCAAGAGTCAGGTTTAGGAAAAAAATTGCCTTGTCATCAAGATGTCCGTGGCCTTGCCTATTTTTTCTCTTTTAGAGTGTAATAAAGAATGTGAAATCAAGTGAAACACTTTTTTGATAAATAAAATAACTGATCAGAGATACATTATTTAAAAACCACGTGAAGATACATTTATGTGGTTTCACAATATTTTAGGTTTTTTCTTTTTTTCTTTTTCTTTTTTTTAAAGACAGAGTCTCACTGTACCACCCTCAGTAGAGTGCCATGGCATCACACAACCCACAGCAACCTCTAAGTCCTGGGCTTAGGCGATTCTCTTGCCTCAGCCGCCCAAGTAGCTGGGACTATAGGCGCTCACCACAATGCCTGGCTATTTTTTTAGTGCAGTTTGGCCGGGGCTGGGTTTGAACCCACCACCCTCGGTATATGGGGCTGGTGCCCTACCCACTGAGCCACAGGCACTGCCCAGTTTCACAAGATTTTAGTTGTGATAGTTGTTAATACAAAGTTTCTTTTTCTTAACTTTAATTAAATCATCCATTTAACAAATAAAACCATGTTATATAGCTGAGATTTAAAATTTTATGTTTGTTCCTGCTCAATTACTTTCAACTCTCTCAATTTAGAATTTATGATAAATGAGAACTGAGTGAAGTCTAATATTGTGCTTATTTGTTAATGCTTTTTGAGACTAGTAAAAATACATTTCTATAATTAAGACTTGCTTCTAATTCTAATAGGTAATCATTTCTTCTCAGCCAAATTTATTGTCCTTATTCAGTGTAGGGATTTTCTTCTTTTGTTCTTTCATTATAGTTTCATTTTTTTCTAATTTTCCATACTTTGGACAGAATTGAAATTTTAATTTTTATTGTTTCTTGAACTGATTTTCTTAGATATAAATTTGGAAATGTGAATTTTTTGACACACTGCATTTCTTTTTCACGTATGGCATGTATTTTACCCTTGAAGCAATTTCTTCCATTTTTCAGACTTCCCCCTCCCACCAGCTCTATTTGTGTGGAACATTTAAAATAAGCATAAAAGTATTAAAGACATGTGAAGCAAATAACATTAGATTAAAAACTAATAAAAATTGGTTTTGCTTACCAAAGTCAAACAAGTCAATTGTTACATATGTTTTCTCCTTTTTTCTCTTTTAAAAACTTACTGTAAAATGTATATGTAACATGAAATTTGCCATTTTAACCTCCTTTTAAAAAATTTTAAAAATAATTGTATTTAAGATGTGGATTAGGAAGCTACTATGGAACGATAGGTGGCCCAGTTCCATTCTTCAGTGCACAGTCAAAACCTAGGGACAAGTACCAGCCACCTGGAAAGAATTTATATACAAACCCAGGAAAGAAAGGAACTGGATATGGGTATGATTTTTAATACTTACTAATCATTTGTTGTGAATTTTAAAAATTAAATTAAAAATGTCTAAAGCCTAAAGTCACTACTACTTATTTTCCTTCCTTAGCTATGCAAATATTACTATTGGTAAACAATTTTCACACTCTGCTGATTTCTATGATGCAGCAAAAGTAAATTACAAGGTAAAGGAATCTATTTTGAATGTTTCAAACTTTCTCTTAATTTGGTTAACTCTGAGAATTCACTTACGCTCTAATTTTGCTTTGTTCTATCTATTTGTATTACGGGGGCCAATGGCAGACTGACGTTTATGGATTGTAGTAATTGTACCTTTTTGATGTTAGATTTCCACATCTTGCTGTCGATCCTCTCAGCTCCTTCCTGGATGAGTTTTATCTCTGCTGTGCTTTACCACATCCATCTTACATCTGTTTTCCCCCCCTTTTTGGTCTTAGATCTCTTGACATTTGCTGAGACTTCTATTAACTTGCCTAATCAACTATGTTCTATTTTTTAAGAGTCATATATTAACTGTCCATCACATTTCTATCATACCCCAATATTTTGTGCCTAAGAAAGGAATGGTAATATTTTGGAGCTGATCAAGAGCCCATCACAGTGAGCCAATGGGATGGAGGAGTTGTGGGGTGATGGGAAAAAGGAGAGGTTAGAGAGTGGATGAACCCTTACAGGAGAGAGAGAGAAAGGAAGGGAGAAAAGCCTTCACTTCATTAAATAACAGAAATAAAAAATAAAAGGTACTGGCATATCACTATGGTCACCTCCAAAGTACTCCCCTTGGCCATCTGGTGACTGTAGTTATTAATATTCAGCAATGAGGTATATAGAACTTTTTCTAGGATGAGTTCAAGAACTTGTCAGACCTTGTAAATACACTATGTTTGACTTATAATGAAATCTGTTCATTTAATGTGGGGAATGTCTACATGTGAATAAACTGAGGAACCTTATAAATGTTAGAACAGTATCAACATAATTTAACAATAACAGCATAACTTTAAAAAAGCTGGCAGTAATGAGCAATCAAGTTAGTTTAGAAAAGAAATTAAATGGCAATCACTTTATTAGTTTTTTGTTTTGGGTTTTATAGGCATACAGGCTTAAACAGTTTTGCTATGGTAATTTTAAATCACAATGGGAATATAAGATTAGTGGCTAATTTTGCAAAGGGGCATTTCCAAAACTCAGGAAACATTTTCTATTTAATTGGGCAGAAACCTTGTAAGTAGCTCTGTTTCAATATATGAATTATGCAATTTATATAAAATTTGTATGTAAACTATCTTTCATCTGTAGGAATAATAATGCATGTATAATATATAACCACAATGTAATTTTACCAGTAATTTGTTTTTTACCCTAGACTTTATGGGTGTAAGATACTTTTTTCTGGCAGTAAAGCTATTTTATTCTCATTTTCAGTACTTAACTATAAATAAGTCAGAAATTTTGTTCCTGAATTTCCCAAAAACTAATTCCAAAACTAATTTTAGAAAAAATGTTATTTTTCTTTGACTATTTTAAAAAGATGACTCCATTGTCTTCTTGCTTGAATTGTTTCTGAGGAGAAACCTGCTATCATGCTAATTCTTGTCCTTCTAGTTTTCTTATCACTCATGTGATTATCATTGCCTTTGGTTTTTCTTTCATTTGTCTTGTGCTTGGGGTCAGAGCTTCCTGAATCTTTGGGGTTATAGTTCTTATCAAATTTGGAATATTTCAAGCCATTATTCCCTCAGATGTTTTTTTTGGAGACAAGCATTTCGCTTTGACACCCTTGGTAGAGTGTGGTGGCTTCATAGCTCACAGCAACTCCAAATTCTTCAGCTCAAGCAATTCTCTTGCCTCAGCCTCCCAAGTAGCTGGAGGTGCCTGCCACACCTGGCTATTTTTTAGAAACAAGGTCTCACTTTGGTTCAGGCTGGTCTTGAACCTGTGAGCTCAGGTGCAATCCACCTGCCTCAGTCTCCCAGACTGCTAGGATTACAGGCATGAGCTATAGGCCTGGCCACCTCGGACTTTTTTTTTTTTTAATTTAGACAGTCTCACTTTGTCACCCTCTGCAGAGTGTAATGAAATCATAGCTCACAGCAACCTCAAACTCTTGGGCTCAAGCGATTCTCTTATCTCAGCCTCCTAAGTAGCTGGGATTACAGATGCCTGCCACTACGCCCGGTTATTTTTATTTTTTTATTTTTTAGCAGGCCCAGGCTAGGTTTGAACCCACCAGCCCTGATGCATGTGGCCAGTACCCTATAACCATTGAGCTATGGATACCCAACCCCACCACAGATTTTTTTACTACTCCTTCATTCAGAGATGCCAATTACATGTGTAGTAGGTCTCATGAAATTGTCCAACAACTTAATAATGTCCTATTCAGTTTTTAAGCATTCTCCTTTTTCCTCTTCTGTATTTTTTCAGACAGTCTCACTTTGTCACACTTAAGTACTGTGACATCATAGCTCATAGCAACCTCAAACTCTTTAGCTTAAGTGATCCTTGCCTCAGCCTCAGCTGGGACTATGGTACCTGCCATGACACCCAGCTAGTTTTTCTATTTTTAGTAGAGATAGGGTCTCAATCTTGTTTAGGCTAGTCTCAAACTCCTGAGCTCAAGCAATCCACATAACTCAGCCTCCCAGAGTGCTAGGACTACAGGTATGAGGCACTGGGGCTGGCCCTTCTTTTTCTTTTTCTGTATTTCACTTGGGGTAGTTTCTACTATTGCTGTGTCTTCCAGGTCACTAATTTATTCTTCTATAATATCCAATCTGCTATTAATGCCATCCAGTGTTTTGTTTTGTAAGACAAGATCTTACTCTGTCTCCCAAGCTAGAGTACTATGGCATCATCATAGCTCACTGCATCCTCAAACTCTTGGGCTTAGGTGATCCTCTTGCCTCAGCCTCCCAAGTAGCAGACCAAAGCAAACAGAAATCTTTGAGGAAACGCTTGTTCATTTGTAATTTAAGTAAATGAACAAGGTGAGTTCCATGAAAACTAAATTTTGAGGAACACTTTCCCAAAGGATAAATAGGATCAATTTTAAGTACCACTGTTGTGAAGTAAAAGAGCAAATCACCAAGGGTGGATGAAAGTCCTAAGGGTTGGATGGACAGAGGAAGGAGGCAAGCAAAAGCTACAGAAGAATCTGAGAAGAGTAAAGAATTCTCAAAGTGCTACAGCAGGGTTCTTAAAATTCAGTCTTCCTGGTCAGCACCTGTAGGTCATTGAGTAGGGCGCCAGCCACATACACTGGGGCTGTCAGGTTTGAGCCCAGCCCAGGCCTGCTAAACGACGACAACTGACCTGCAACCAAAAAATAGCCAGGTGTTGTGACCCCAGCTACTTGAGAGGCTGAGGCAAGAGACTCACTTAAGCCCAGGAGTTTGAGGTTGGGAGCTGTGATGCCACAGTACTCTACCAAGGTGACAAAAGTGAGACTCTGTTTCCAAAAAAAAAAAAAAATTCAGTCTTCTTTCTAGTAACTATCTATTTTAGATTTCATTTATCAAGTGTTTTCAGATCAGCTGTTGAATGATGAAATACCAGATTTCATATGTGCAAGAAGTGAAAAAATGAAATCAATCTTTACTTTATACTTATCTTTTTCAATCTGTATTTTATACGTGAATTTTTTTTGGTCCTCTATTAAACAGCAATTTTTATACTTAGTGTTGTCCCATAATTTATGCTATAGAATTTCAACCTCTTTAATTTACAGAAAGAGAATGAAGAACATCATCGTTTAGTTAAAGGGTCACCTTTCAAGTTAAACCTTTACCCAAGGGAATATTTCGATGCGAATCCTTATTTTTCTGAGAAACCATTACCACCAATTAGAAAAGAAGAGAAGAAAGAAGTAGTTCCAAACCCTTTTAAGCCCTCTTCTCCTGGTAAAAAGGTAAGTTACAAATTTTATAATGGAAAACAATAAGCATTATAAAAAAATACTACCTCTTGTTGTCAAATGACTATATTACCCATGTAAATAATAAACCTTTGCTTTTATAGATGCCTAAAATCAGGAAGCCCATTTTTACAGAATTATGTAACCATCTTTTAGTTTTTGAAATGGTGATTAAATATGTTCTTACTGCAAAAGTTTACAAGTGAGAATAAAGATAAAATACTCTGACAGTTCATAAATCTTAGTTTATACTTTGGGTTTGTTTATTTCTGTGAATTGACTATTCATCTCCCTTATGGACTTTATAGTAGGCTGTTTCTCATACTGACTTGTAAGATTATTTCATGTATCAAGGTTTATTCTTGATAAAACCTGTCATTTTATTGAAAATTTTATTCATTTATTCTGTCATTTGTATTGAAAATTTTTTTAGTCTGTTGGGTCTTTGACTTTGGTTATGATATTGTATGCTGTTCAGAAATGTAGCCATCAGATGTAGTCAAATTTATCAATCCTTTGTGGTGAAGTTTATGTCATTTTTCAAACTGTTTTTTTTTTAACCACCAATATTAGAATAATGTACCTTCTTTTTTTGTTTTTTTGAGACAGAATCTCACATTGTCATCCTCGGTAGAGTGCTGTGCCATCATAGCTCACAGCAACCTCAAACTCTTGGGCTCAAGTGACCTTGCCTCAGCCTCCCAAGTAGCAGAGACTACAGGCCTGTTTTTTAGAGACGGGGTCTTGCTTTTGCTCAGGCTGGTCTCAAACTCCTGAGCTCAGGCAATCACCCACCTCAGCCTCCCAGAGTACTAAGATTACAGGCGTGAGCCACCACATCTGGCCTGGAATTTAATAAACTCATATAGTACCAGGCTCCTTGTTCCCTATTTCCTATCAAAATACATCTGAGTAGGTCTCATTCCCTCACACTCCCCTAAGTAAGTGATAACCTGACCTGGTAAACTCTCACTAAATCATCACTGCTTGGCAATAGTGTGGAATATTACCTTACTATCAACATTTTCATTTTCTTATATAGAAATTTTGAAATTAGTGTTTTGACCTTATAGAATTGATAGTAGAGAGACCCTTTGCTGATATTTGAATTAAACAGTATAAGCGAGTTTCTTTAAAAGTAAAACTGACCCACAGACAAACATACATGTGAACTTCTTCATAACCTAATTTTTATAGAAGTATTTTGCAAACCTACATTAAATTGTCTCATTTTTATTTATAGGCTGGTGGAATGAAGGCAGGGACATTTGATTCCTACCCATCACATTCTGCTGACCCTTATGTGGCTAAATTGACAAGGATTTCTGGCAGAGATGGTAAGATTTTCCATCCACCAAGTGGACCAAAAAGCAGACCAATTCAAAGTATAATGACTTTGAATGTCAGAAGGTAAGATACATTTACCCTACAAGCCAAGAAGAAAATGGTTTCAACTTTTTTATCTTCAAAATTATACCTCTTATTTATATAGACCTTTATAACAATCTTTTTCATGGTTCACCTTTCTCATGACAAATCTGGGGGAAAAAGTGGAAAGGAAAAACAAATTTAGGCAACTTTAGAAATCTCAGATCCTTCCAGGTACCTGTCCTCCTCTGTAGAAGTTCTTTTTCATCTTCTGAAATTCTCAACTGAAAAAGTTCAGTGTATCTGTACCCAACTATTTTGCCCATAATTTTTTAAATATTATGGGCGACTTGAGACTATTCAGATACTTGTAGTTCAGTTAGCAGTACATGTTCACATCAGCTATTTCTCAAAGGGAATTTCTTAGCAATTGTGAGGCCTCCTAATGATGCTTGAGAGTTTTGCCCTTAACTTTGAAATAATCTCTTGTGTAAACAAGAAATATTCTGGTTAGTTAAAAATAACATCCCTTATAATGCTTTGGGAAAAGTATATTATCAAAGTTACTTTTTATTTTTTTTATTTTTTTTGAGACAGAGCCTCAAGCTGTCCCCCTGGGTAGAGTGCCGTGGCATTACAGCTCACAGCAACCTCCAACTCCTGGGCTCAAGCGAGTCTCCTGCCTCCGCCTCCCAAGTAGCTGGGGCCACAGGCGCCCACCACAACGCCCGGCTATTTTTTGGTTGCAGCCGTCATTGTTGTTTGGCGGGTCTGGGCTGGGGATTCGAACCCGCCACCTTAGGTGTATGTGGCTGGCGCCTTAGCCGGTTGAGCTATAGGTGCTGAGCCCAAAGTTACTTTTTAAAACTTCACTTTTACCCAGGTTTTGAACACTCTCAAAAATAAAAAAGAAGTTCTTTGGAGTTTAGAACATATTATAATAAATTAGAAGAAAACAATAATTCTATCTGTGTGTGGGCATACACATAGGATCGTGACGAAGTAGAAGAACCCATTTGATTACCTTTCTATCCACTGAAAAAGTTTTAATGCCATAACAAATCTACATATTCCTAACTTTGAATTAAGGACACCAAATTTACATTCTTTTCTTTTATAAAAACAGTAGTACATCCTAAACGTTAGGACACTGATGATATTATTATTATTGCACTAAAATAAGACTGCCTTTCTTTGCAAAAGTGTTTCTGAGTCACTACCCCTTAATGTCTTTACATTTTCTTCACTACACCCACCTTCAGATAGATGGAATTTTGTGTGTTGGAAGGAGTGATATTTCAGGTTTTCTCTGTTCTATTCTATTCAGAGAACAAATCTGACAAAGTGCTATGATACCGTAGGATATATGCTTAAAGCAGGGAAAAAGTAAACAGTAATTGACTGCTTTTTTAGTAATCTTGAATTTATTAAAATCTCTATGTTATCACAAACATTGATTTCTTATACTCTAATTTTAAAATGAATAAACCTTTGGATAGTTCTATTTACAGTTGATTCCCTGTTTTCCTTCTTAAATTAAGTTTCCTAATAAGGTGAAATTTTTTAAGTTTGTGAGAAAATTTTGATTTTTTTAAATTATTAATACATTATAAAAGTTTATTTGAAATGTTTTAATACCACAAATTTTTCTAAGAATGCACAGATACATTACCTGTACTTATAAAATTAAATATGCGTTTATTTTCTAATTTTAGGGCACTAAATATGAAGAACTACAAGACTGCTTCAGTACAGTCCTATTAGCAAGTGGGAGTCAAGGAGCTAAGTAGATCCTGACTACCAGCGATTGTCAGGAGCTAATTATTTGAAAAAATATAAGATGTTGTGATGTTGTGAGGCCGATAGCTCAAGCATCTAAAAGAAATATACGAACTTGTAACTCAAATACTCTGCCTAATTTTAATGCTACTACTTAATAAATACTGTCCATTACTAATAATTTAACATGTGACTGCTAATCTGTTTTTAGATTCTGTATTTCTGAGCAAAATATAATGTTTAGTGATTTTATAAAATCCTGAAGTAGTGTCTATCATTTGAAAGCTTTTACTCCTAATGTTAAAAATTTGCAGGGTCGGAGTGGTAAGGTGGCTTCACCTGTAATCCTAGCATTCTAGGAGGCTGAGGCAGGTAGACTGCTTGAGTTCAAGAGTTCAAGACCAGCCTAGGCAAGAACAAGAACTCATCTCTACTAAAATTAGAAAAACAAGCCAGGCATGGTGATGGGCACGTGTAGTCCCAGCTACTCAAGAGGCAAAGGCAGGAGAATCACTTGACCTCAAAAATTTGAGATGGCTGTGAGCTATGATGCTACGGCACTCTACCCAGGGCAATAAAGTAAGACTGTCTCAAGAAAAGAAAAATAATTGCAAGGTCAGAGGGTAGGGCTGTGGAGGCAGGGTAGGAAGGATAAAAGTACATTTTTAACTTGTTCTTTCTTCTTAGAGGTATTGAAAATTGGACGGAGAGCTATCCAGAGTTAAAGCCTATTAGCATCCTTTTTTTTTTTGAGACAGAGCCTTAAGCTGTCCCCTTGGGTACAGTCCTGTGGCAACACAGCTCACAGCAACCTCCAACTCCTGGGCTCAAGCAATTCTCCTGCCTCTGCTTCCCAAGTAACTGGGACTACAGGCACCTGCCACAATGCCCAGCTATTTTTTGATTGCAGCCATCATTGTTGTTTGGCAGGCCAAGGCTGGATTCGAACCCGCCAGCTCAGGTGTATGTAGCTGGCACCTTAGCTGCTTGAGCCACAGGGACCAAGCCCCTATTAGCATCCTTAACATCAAAGATAAATACTAGATGCATTTCTGTTGCATAGGTTCATGTACACACACGCTGGTGAAGCAAGTGCTTCAGCTTTTGTAGTGTCATGCCTCCTACTCATGTCTTATGTAAAGCATCAGATTATTTAGCTGATGTCAGGCCCATAATGCATTGGGGGAAGGAAGGAAGACTGCACTTGTTCAGTATCTTATAAAAATTCCAAAGTTGCAAGATGGATGAGGTATGTTCCTCCCCAGCTATCCAAAGCTGCCTGTCCCCTAGGTCTCACCTTCTAGTTCCCAGGATAGCTCTTCTCCATCACCTATCCTATCTCTTTCGAAAGCATCAGCTCTTAAATTATATGATTTAATGGCTCGGCGCCTATAGCTCAACCGGCTAAGGCGCCAGCCACGTACACCTAAGGTGGCAGGTTCGAATCCCCAGCTCGGACCCGCCAAACAACAATGATGGCTGCAACCAAAAAATAGCCGGGCGTTGTGGCGGGCGCCTGTGGTCCCAGCTACTTGGGAGGCAGAGGCAGGAGACTCGCTTGAGCCCAGGAGTTGGAGGTTGCTGTGAGTGTGATGCCATGGCACTCTACCCAGGGGGACAGCTTGAGGCTCTGTCTCAAAAAAAAAAAAAAAAAAAAAATTATATGATTTAATTAAATGAGGTCAGACAATTAAGTTGAAGAATTCACCCTAGAAAAACTGCTACATGCCTCACTGCTGAATATCACTATGGTCACCTTCGACCTTGGGAATCTATGCCCAATGCCAGCACCCTTCAAAGCAACTTTGGAACTTTTTTTCTGGAATGGTAATCAGAGCTGTCAGTTCTCGAACTCATCCTAGAAAAAGTGCCACCTACCTCACTGCTGAATATCACTACCATTACCTTTGAAGTACTTGGAAATCTATGCACAGACACTACTGCCTAGTCCACTCTGCAAAGCACTTTTGGAACTCTTTCTGGAACGGCCATCAGAGCTTTTATCGTACAAGGTCTGACAATGAAGTTCGTGAACTCATCCTAGAAAAAGCACTCTGCATACCTCATTGCTGAATATCACTACAGTCACCTTCGAAGCACTCTTCTAGGCCATCTGGGCCCATATAGATATTGTTACATTTTGTTCCCATGTTACTTTCTAAATTTTCCACAGAAATAATGATTCTTTTTAAATGGCTTCAAGTTACATTATTCACTCTACTGCCTTATCAAAATTAGAGAGCAGGGTAAGGTGGAGGATACTTACTTGTAGGAAATCAAATATAGAACATGAGTTAGTAGACAAGAAAGAAGATAGAGAAGAACCTGTTTCCAATTTATTCCTTTCCAAACCTTGTCAAGGGCACAGGCTAGAAGCCCATAGAAATAGCTAAAGAACCATATATCATTCCCAATTTCTAATTAAAAAAACCAGTCTACTAAATTATAAGGTAATTGTAATCATATATAAAAGTGAATTTAAAATTATTTTGTAAGGGGGAAAAAGTACTTGGACAAAGGTCTTTGAAACGCTGATTTTAGAAATTTATTTACATATTTTGGATGGAAACAATTGATACAGTTTACTTGAAGTTCCTGGAAAAAAGAGAAGAATTTTTTTTTAAGGTGAAGTGCTAATGATACTTTAGGATGATTATAATTAAAACCTCCCTGCTCCCTGCCAAAATTTCTTTGTACATATACAATGCATATAAATAATATAAATAATATAAATTTTATCTAAAGAAAAAATCCCTAATTTTACTATATAATAAATTGGATGCAAATCTTATAAAACTAAATTGTGTTAATCTTAAATTTTCTTCTCACTCCTGTACTCCGGCTAGTACTCAATAGACGAATACAATCTTAAACACATGTCTACTAATCTACCGCCACATACGTACCTTTCAAATCAGGAGCTAATGGCCTACTCCTAGGCCTGGACACGTTCTCATAAGTATCATAGTTGCCAAAATGGAATTTCTCTCTCTTTGAAATGTAAACTGTTTTTGGTAGCTCATTATGCTGACTACAGATTTTATCACTTAAACTTAAATATTCTCGTTGAAGATTCCGCATCTCAAATTCTAAGGCATCCCTTTCATTTTCTATACTTCTTACATAGTTTTCTAAAAGTATTTTGTCTTCGGTAAGTCTACTGATGCTGTTTTCAAATTTTACATTTTCTTGGCTATGTTTCTTGAGTTCTTCTTTTAGAATCTCATTATCTCTTTTAATCTCCATTACCATTTGTGATAACATTTCACATTCCTTGCCGATTTCTGTCAAGTTGCTCTTATAAATACTTGCTTCTGATTTTGCATTTTTTATTTCTTTCAGAAAATTCTCTTCTGCAGTAGACTGGTAGGCTTGAATATTCTCAATTTCTCTTTCCAGCATTTGTCTAGCAGCAATAGATTCTTGTAATGTTGTTTCAAGGTTAAGTTTTTCATTGTTAACTGTTTCTATGATGTGAACAAGTGTCTCTTGTTCTGTTTTTGCTAATTTCTCTTTCTCTTTCAGCTGCATTATCTCTAGCTGCTTTTCTTTTATTTCGTTTTCATGTGAGCTTTTTTCCTGGAGAAGCTGGTATGCTTTTTTCTCTAACATTTGTTTCTCATCTTGAATCAACAGAATATTTGTTTTCATTGCTTCCATTTCTATACTAATTCGATTGTTTTCATTACTGACAATGGCCAGGTTACTTTGAGTTTTGTGTTCCTTGCTTTTTAGCTGATCTAATGCTTCTATCATTTGCTGCTTCTCCAAGGAGAACTGGCTATTTTTTTCCTCTAGAGTTTTATTTTGGCCCTGGAGAATATTATATTTACTTATTATTTTTTTTAATTCTTTAAGACACTCCTTGCCATCTTCTTCTGTTTTAATTAACTTAGATTGAATACTATCCTTTTCTTCTACAAGATCCTTAAGCTGCTTTTCATATGTTTCGATTTTCTGTATCAGCGATTGTGTGGTCAAGACAAGAGGTTTTATTTTGGACTTAAGGCTTAGATTTTCATTCTCCAGTTCTGTGGCTTTTTTCTGTATCTGCATAGATTCTTTTAGGTAATTCTGTAAGTACTGAATTTTTGCAACACACTGTTCAGTGACAGAATTGACTCTGGATGTTTTCTCATTTTCAAATATTATTGATCCTTGTTTTGCTACAAATGGCTGCCTTTCCTTGTCTTTCATTTCAAGTTTTGTTTGGTCAAGGAATGACAATGTATGTCTTGGTAGTCTGGAATGGAATTTTAAATCTGTAATACTCTTGCCTGTGATAGGAATTTCTTTATTGTTTTTCTCATTCTTTCTTCCCCTGTGTGCTTCACTCTTAGATAACTTTTTACATTTCCTACAAAAATTCACATGGATTTTTGACACAGTTTCCCTGAGTGGGAGTAATTTGTTTACTAATGCCTCTAATTCCGAAATCCTCTTTGATTTTATATCTTCATGTAAGTTACCTTCTGTGTTTTCTTCCTTAATAAAATTAATTTTTTCCTTGTGAATAGGGGGCGGGTCATATTTACTATTACTTTGAATATTTGTATCAGTTTTTAACATTTGAAGTTCATTAGTAAGTGCTAATTCCCTATCATGTGACTTTTGAAGCTCTTCCTTCATTTGTTTGATAGAATAGCAAATATCATCCAAATTTTCACAAAATCCATGCTTGAGAAAAGGTGCAGTAATTTTGGATTTATCCAGAATTACTGTATCAGCTTGAGACACCACATTTTGAGGTACAGTACGTAGAAAACTATAAAGGTTATTATAACTCTTCAACGCTTCAGAATTTTCCAAAGGCTTTATAATTATGTTTGAAGATGAACTGTCTGTTGAAGTTCTTGGGGTTATTATGTCCTTAAAGTGTATCTGGGATGGAATATTTATACTTTGAGAAAGACCATTAACATTATTATTACTGAAATTTTCTTCCACTGAATGAAGAGTCCTGGAATCTTCAAAATGATGCATTTTCTCCACAGAGAGGACTTCTTTTTGATTCTCCATAGGCTAGTAACAATAAAAAGAGCTCTGTAAATGTACTGTCATTTGCCATCTGACCAAGAAATTAAAATACTATTTTGTGGATGGCTTAAATATACAACGAAAACAAGCCTTTTATCCATTTCTACAGCCAAAAAAATCCCAACAAGTACGATTCATTTTCTCCAGAAAATTTAACAACAGTTGTTTTGAGATCTGTAATTCTGATCTTCACGATTTGCTTAGAACTTGCATTTACTTCCTTAGGGGATAAGATAATTAAGCCAAACCCCCAATTTCAGAAATAGCAGCCGTTGAGAGACCATTACAGATCAGTGGGCAACACGTAAGCAGTACGTCAAATGGGGGGTTGAGGAAATTGAGTATTTCCACAGCTGGGCTGTCACCCTTAGCTTGTACTCCTAGTTTGGGGTGATTTTAGGGTTATGAACTCTCTAAGAAATGCGAATCAGTGTGGACATAGTGATGGTCACTCTGGTTAGGAGCTGTCCAGGGAATCACCCCAGGTCTAGGTCAATCCTAAGTAAATAGGCTATCAAGACTGTCTTGTATTTGAATTCACTTTGGAGTCTTTTGCTATCTGGACTTAGTCAAATGTCCCTCATAGATTCTTAAAAGAGAAATGGGGACACTGTGGAAATACAGAAGTAGACGCACGTTTTTTAAGGTTTTCAGGATGGGAATTTCCTTGTTTTCATCTCGGACAGTCCATTCTTCCTGTAAAGAAGGGGAAAAGGTGAGGACAAACCCGTGGCAGGCACATTTCTGAAGCACCTATGTATAGAAACAATGTGTGCAGAATAACGTACCAAATCCTTTTCAATGCGTGTGCTGAATACTAGATTTTTGTCTGAGCTACATTGTGGGTTTTCTACTTCAATAATACTTTTATTCAATATTTCACTGATTTCAGACTGTACCTTTAAAAGATAAAATTGAGAATGTTAGAATTTGATTTCAGATTTGTAAACTTACGAGTATACAAGAATAATGGGTATTACAATTAAAAGAGATCTTTAAATTTCCCTCCCATAAAAATTCTTTCCTATCATGTGGAATACAAATTAAATTTGGCTAATTTGTGAATTGTGATCAGCTCTATCATTAAAGGAATCCGTAAGAAAACTATGCCTTTATTATGATTATGAAATCAGAAAAAAATTAGTAAAACAATAAACTTCTATGAACTATATTTATTTAAGGATTTTTTTTTTTGATACATAGTATCACTATGTCACCCTTGGTAGAATGCTGTGGCATCACAGCTCACAGCAACCTCAAACTCTTGGGCATAAGTGATTCTCTTGCCTCAGCCTCTCAAGTAGCTGGGACTATAGGCGCATGCCACAACACCTGGCTATTTTTT